GCGGGACAGGGGACATCCCTTGGCAATGGACGGTCACCCCACAGCGGGACAGGGGACATCCCTTGGCAATGGACGGTCACCCCACAGTGGGACAGGGGACATCCCTTAGCAACGGCAGCCTTGTACCCTCCAGTATCCCCCCGCATCACCTACTTGTGGCTCCAGCGTCCGCACCCTCCGCATCCAAAGGTGTCCGCTGGCCGATGTCCGGGACAGCGCTGCCCGTTCCCGGGCTCTCCCCAGCGCTGGCCACCCGGTGCCGGGACTCACCGGCCGCAGGCTTGGTGGCGGCCGTGTCCAGGGACGAAGAGGACGCCTGGAAGAGAAGCAGGACAGAGACTCAGCGCCGTTGCCTCTCCCGGTCGGAGCAGCGCCGGCACGGCTGGGGGGCACGGGGGGGTTCGGGGCGCACGGACACAAGATGCTTTTGTTTTCCTGCCGGCCGGTGCACGTGGCCAGCACGGGAGCCGCATGCCAGCCCGCGCCGTGGGGCTACAGCTGGATCCGGCCGATGGATCCCAGCACAGCCAGACAAGAAAGGCTGCAGGGGGGGCGAGGACATGAATCAAAGCGGCGTCCCCTCGCCCGCCGGCGGCAGCTGGCCGGTTAGGCAGCTCCCGATTACTCAACCGGGCAGTGTTTACTCGAGATCAACAACCCCCCCATCGCCTTCCCTGCCAGGCGGGCGAGGGAAACGTGCTGCTGGGATGGGGATGGCATTCCCGCTGTGCCTTGTTTGGGGACAGTTCCCCCTCGTCGAGCCCCGGGCGTTGCTGTGGCCCGGGGTTTGTTGTAGCTGTCACCCTCCTGCCCGGGCACACAGCTTGGGCTGTCACCGCTCCTGTTTAGCTTTAATAAAGCAACAGCCAGTGACGCCACACTCATCCCAGTGCTGTTGTGCCACCCTGGGAAAGGCACACGGACAGCCCGGGTTCACAGGACGCTGTGCCCACCCTGGGTACGGTGGGGCGCAGGTGACCTCCCCCTGCCACAGGTGACATCCACAGGGGACACCCTGCACCTGATCTGGGGACATCAGGACCATGGTGAGGATTTTATGTTGATCCTGTTTTTCTCAGGATTACTCCTATAAACATGGAGATGGATGGCCGGTGCTTTGCTGGGAAGCCCTTAGACTCAATGAGCCACACGAGTGGACGTATAAATTCACCGTTTGCTTCCTGGAAAGGTTTAATTTATGGAATCCATATGGCAGAGCCACACAACCGCGAGCGCTTGGCACATCCCGTGAGTCCTCGAGTGCCACCACGTCCCAGCCCCAACTGGCGGGGTGCCACCGGCTGCCTGGGTGATGGCAGGATGCTCTTGTTTTTCCCAGTGATTAACAGAAGGTGACTTTCACAGCGGGCAGGGGACAAGCCCAGGGATCAGTCCCCATCCCCGGCAGCTTGGTTTGGGATCCCTGGAGGTGGCAGGGATGTCTCAGGGGACAGGCTGTGCCACTGGACAATGCCACCAGCAGCAGCAGGCAGCAATCCCCTACCTGTGGGCATGGGAAAAGGCTGGGGTGCACTTTGATACCTGGAGCAACTAATTATTAATTAGCATTAATCACTCCCCATCATGTGTCACAGCAACATTGGGCAAGACGCAGCTGGGAAGTCACAGACCAGGGTCTTGGTGGGGGAAGTGGATCTTGACAGCTGGGCCAAGGCTGGCACCCTCCTGCTCCCCAGGCAGCCCCCCAGACCCCAAACCACCCATCAGCCCCACACACCAGCAGCCCTCACCCCCTCTCTTTTCCTGCCAAGGGATGCTGAGATGCAGAGGCACCAGAGATGGGTCCCACCTGCCCAAGGGCAGCCAGGATCCCACCCCCCCTCACCACCCCTGTCCCCTGGGACCCCCCGGCTCCGCACCGAGCACTGGCCGCCTCCTTGCTTCAACTTCACCCGGCACTATCTGTCAGCAAATCATCCCCGGTTACACAGATAAGGAATAATTGATGCAAAGGAGCCATCTGTTTGCGAACACGGAATATCTGCTCAATTAGGAGGGATCTGTCCACCCAGATAAAGCATGGCAGCAGCCCCTCGGAGCGGGGGCCTTCCTCCCCAGCCACGTCCTCAAAGACTCAACCCCAATTAGAGGTGAGCAGGTTGATTTGGGTGCTAATTTGCCAAGCAGCACCCTGAGGTGCTTGAGAAGAGGCTGGGAGGGAAGGGTGCTCTGCCACCAAGCGCTGAAATTTGAGGGGACAGCTGGCAGATCCCCCATGTCCCACTGTGACAAAGCTCAGCTCCTCCTGGCTCTGGGAGATGCTTATCCCACTTTTCCAGGGATGGAGAGAGGGGAGCAGGAGCTGTGCTTGCCGAACGGCGCTGAGCTGAGGCCGGTCCACTCGTGACACGCCGATGGACAAGCCTGAAACAGCTCCCAGGACATCCACAACAGGGATCAGGGACGCAGGGCACAGCCTCAGGCACATCCAGGTCAGGGGTAGGTGAGCAGCGAGGTGACAGCAATGTGACATTGTTATGTGATGTTATTAACACAGGAAGAATGGAGCTGGCACGCAGGCTAGCAGGGAAAAGGCTCCAAGCAGAGCTGGCAGGGATGGCCCCATGACATGACACTACTCAAACCCCTCCTGGGTGGCATCTGTCCCCATCTACCCCAGCAGCTTCTTGGTACCAAAAGCTCGAGGGAGGACAAAACAGAGCTGGTGGCCTCCAGGGACAGGCACAGAGAGGCACTGCCAGATGCCACATCAGCCGTGTCACCTGTGCCCCACACCACCAGCACAGTGCCCCCCCTGCCCTTGGCGTGGTGCCCAGGGCAGGCAGCATGGCAATCTGCATAAAGAATGGCACCAAGGGCAGGGGGTAGTGTCCCCAGTGTTCCCACTGTCCCCAGAGTGTCCCTCCCCACCAAGGACACATTCCTTCTGCTGCCATCCCCGGGCTAAACAGCTGCCGCAGCTCCCAGCTTTGGGATGGCAGTGCTGGAGTGGAAAAGCAGAGGGCAGGAGGCCACGCCAGCACGCTTCCTGTGCCTTCGGGACACCCAAAATCGCGGCTTCCCCATTCCGCCTCACCCTCTGCTGGGACACGCAGCGCCGGTGCCACCCGCCCACGGGAATGCGCCCACGGGAATGCGCCCACGGGAATGCGCCCAGGGAATGCCGCCCACGGGAATGCCGTGGGCACAGCAGAGCCCCCACCGCATCACCCCGGCCTCCACCCTCCCGGCTGGCAGCACCCCGGAAAACCCCTGCGCTGCCAGCAGCCAGGGCACCGGGGGTGGCTGCAATCTTTGTCTCTTGGCTGGCATCACCCCGGCACACGCAGCCTGCCAAGCCCCGGCGCGGCTGCGCGGTTTGGCACAGCGTCGATGCCAGCTCCGGTGAGTGGGCAAGGGGTGAGGTGAGGAGGATGCCCGGCACAGAGGGGCACTTCCCAGGGGATGCTGAAGGCCTGGGGGACACAAACCCTCGCTGTGCCCGGCTCCCCGCAGGCCAGGGAGGCGGTGCTCGGGGTAAAAGGGGGTTTTGGAGTGCTGAGGGCTGCAGGAGCAGGCTCCCCCCAGTTCCCTTTGTGGCTGAGGCCCTCCAGCCCCCTGGCTCCTGCTGGGGCTTTATCACAGCACAGCCCCTGCCCTGTGTTCCCCCAGACCGTTCCAGCTGCTCTTCCCTCCAGGGAGCCTCTGCCCTTCTCCTCCTTGTCCCAGCAGCCTGAGAACACAGGGTTTTCCCGCAGAGCAGGCTGGGGTGCCCCTGGGGGGCTGGGGAGCATGCTGGTGGCATGGCTTGGCCCTGATGGGTGCCCACAGGAGGGGGTGGTGGCTGGCTCCATGCATCTCCACCGTATTTAAAGTTTCTCAGGCGTGTTTGCTGGCGGGAAGTTGGAACCTACAATTACAGCTGTGCTAACTCCTCATTAAAGAGGGGAAGGGAAAAAAAAAAAAAAGGGGAAAGAAACAAAAGGCTCCAGACAGAGACACAGTGCCGTTAACCCTTCCCAAGATGGGGATGTGGCCCCCCAGGAAATTCACACAGCTGGAGGGATGTGTCAGGGTGGTGGCAGGTGACACCACGCACCGAGGGTCTGCCCATGAGCATCACTGCCCACCCAGGTGCCCGCTCCGTGTCCTGGCGGTGCCGGCGGTGCCGCGGCGCCCGCGTGGGCACGGCCGCGGCTGTGCCGGAGCCGTTTGTCACGGCAGGGCTGCGGTTCCCGCTCGCTCTCCAGCAGCGCCACCGTGACGCCTGCTCCAGGAGCCCACACAATATGTTCGCACTCATCTCGCAGCTGCCCCCAGACAGCCCGAGGTGCCGCGCTGCTCGCCGGCGCGGGGGCCGGTGTGTGCCAGCAGAGCCGCGGCGCGCCCGCAAGCCCAGCCGGGAACTGGCACGGAGGGAAGGGGCTGGAGACTGTGGGCAGGCTGGATGCCACAAGGGCGGGCGAGGCTGGAAACACTACTGGCATGGGCAAGGGATGCACCAGTGGCCCACCCTGTGCCACAGCACACTCAGCCAGGCTGTGCCACGAGCCCTGGGAATGGCAGACCTGGGGCGGACAGGCCTGGCTGTGACCCGTGTGTCACTGCAGCCACCCTGCACCACACGGAGCAGAAGCCGGTGCGACACGTGGGGTGAAGCACATCCCCCCTAAGACCCCATCCCAAGGAGAGTTTGACCCTGTGGCCACCCCAGTGTGACCACGGTCCCCCTCCTGCCCCATCCCCGGGGAGCAGCAGGTCCCTGCGTCACTCTCCAGCCCCCTCCCCACGGCGACACCACCTCAGCGCCGCGGCCGCAGCGGCCCTGACAGCAGCTAACGAGCTGCAGGCAGCAATTTGGGTTATATATAGCCCCAAAGTGACTGCATCTAATTGCTCCAGCGCACACCAGCCCCGCCGCGGGGTCCGGGTGCTGGGCCCAAGGGGACAGGGCGAGCGGCACGTGCTCAGCCCCCTCGCCCGGATGTCACCCCGTGTGACCCCCCGGGCACCCTGAGGCTGGCGTGGCACGAGCATCACCCCATCCACGCCAGCCCCGAGGAGCTGGGCCTCTCCTGGCAGCTTTGCGCCCGGCCATAAGCGGCTTTGGCTAAAGCCGCCGTCCCGGCCCGTCCCAGCCAGGGACCCTAAGGAGCTTTTGTCCCCTCTCATTAAAGGGTTTTGGCCAGGAGGCCCACGGGGCGCAGCACCCAGCACCCCCTCTCCACGGCCTGTGGGCTCCAGCCAGCTGCTCCGGCAGCCCCGGGAGGCAGCAGGGCTGGAGGGAGGGAGCTGCTGCCTTTGTGGCAGCCCCCATCCCCTCGCAGCAGCTGCCAGGCGAGGCGGCGGGCGCGC